TTTGGTTACATCATTTTTGTGTTCTGAAAAATATGCAAGGAAAAGAAATGTGGTGGATGCTGCAACTGTTTCAATTGGTGTAGTAAGCAATTTTTTACCTTGGTTTCATTATGAAGCTGTGTTACGATTCTATCTGAATAAGCTTCATACTATGCCAGAGTTTCAAAAACAATTAGTTCGTGTAGTTGTCTCAATCTTAGATGCATTTCATTTTGATGTTTCGTTAGCGGAACAGATCTCAGAAGATACTAAAGACAAGAATTTTCAATCTCAAGAGATCTCTGTTGATGTAGTAAATAAAATAGATGATGAAACTGGCAAAGGAGAATTGGAAAATAAAGAAGAGAAGACACCAGACTTGAGTTCGGAAGAAAAGGATGAGAATGAGGATCCAACAAAAGAACAAAAAGATGGTGATGATGACGTTTTCACTGACAAAAATGATGTTGGTGATGATAACACTAAGCAGTCAGTTGAAGAAGAATTGGCGAATGCAATGGATGATATTTCAGTAGATGAAAATGAGAAACCTGAAGAATGTGAAGAGGTTTTGCCAAATGAAGAACCTTATGTCCTTAAGTCTATTAAGTTATCTGTAACTATGGCAACAGGTGTGATTCGTTCCATTGTAAAAGTTCTTCTTCCCAAGTTACAACAAACAATAACTCTGAATAAGAAAAGCAGTGTCCACAAGGTCAATCGTAAGAAAACTGCCCTTGAGCAAGAAGAAGAGGACACCATGTGTATCCCAGTTGCTTTGGCCATTGTGAAGTTGTTACAGCGGCTTCCTTCACGATATCTGGATCAGCACCTGCCAGGTGTTTTTCTGAACATATGTGCATACCTGAAGTCTCGCTTGGAAAGTGTTCGTCGTGTTGCTCGTGAAATGTTGCAAAAAATAATGGAAAGTCTTGGGCCACAGTATTTAAGCATTCTATTCAATGAAATGATCTCACTTCTTACTAAAGGCTTTCAGAAACATGTATTAATATTCACTATTCATTCTGTCATATCTTCTATGAAGTCAGCATTTAAAACAGGAGACATGGATGGATGTTTAAGCCAGATATTACATATTGTTAAAATAGATCTTTTCGGAGAAGCATTTGAAGAGAAAGGAGTAACTCAAATTACAGGAAAAGTTGTAGAAGCTCGATCTCATAAAAGTTACAATACTCTTTATTTAGCCGCTCAGTACATCTCAGAAAAATGTTTTATTGATTTGTTACTCCCATTTAAGGAGGTTCTGGCCACAACTCATTCATTTTCTACTCTGGTGCGAGTTTCTGAAAGTTTGGGTCAAATTGTGAAGGGATTGAATGACAACATGTTTGTTTCAGTAGAATCATTACTTATATTTATATATGGTGTAGTGTCAGGTAGCATAGCTGTATTTAAAATGAATAATGAGCAGAAAGTGAACAAGGAAGAAACAAAACAAACATTACTGAAACAACCTGATACTTTCCTTATCCCTAAAGCCCCAAGAACACGGTATGGTACTCTCACAGCAAAACCTAATCTCTCAAGTGACCGAAATGCACATATGCTTGTGGAATTTGGATTCCGTTTGCTGCACATTCTTTTGAAGAGAGGAAAAGCAGTATCAGATGAGTTTTTAAAATACATTGATCCTTTGGTACCAATATTACAGAACAATATCGATGCTAAACATGTGAAGTTGACAACAATAACGCTACAATGTTTTGTTAATATCTTTAAAATGGATCTTCCTAGTTTGAAAAAAATCATAGATACTTTGGCAGATTCTCTGTTTAGTCTGTTGCATAAATATGCAACTGCTGGGTTGTCACAAGGGGAATATTTGGATATGGTGGTTGCTGCTTATAAAGCTGTTACAGTATTAGTTGGACATGTTAAATATCATCTCATTAATGATATTCAGTTAAAATCTTTATTACTTTATATTGAACAAGGGATGCAGGATTTCACACAACAAGCTACAGCATTTCCTTTGCTGAAGGCTATACTATCACGAAAACCTGATATACCAGAAATATATGAAATCATGTCCAAAGTAGCTCAGATTAGTGTTATCTGTGAGCATGACCATGTCCGAGCTCAAGCACGACAAGTTTTCTATCACTTTTTGATGAATTATCCTCTTGGCTCAAAAATAGAGACGCATGTAAATTTTTACATATCACAGTTGAGTTATGAACTTGAACCTGGGCGTTTGTCTGCGTTTCAGATAATTCATAGAATGATTGCAACATTTCCAGATCATGCCCTTTCCAAGTATGCAGGAGTACTTTTTGTTGGTATTGGAGCAGCATTAGTCAATGATGAGAGGGCAAGTTGCAAAAAGATGGCTGCTAAGTGCTTGAAAATATTAATAGAGAAAGATGAGACTGATAGAGACAGATTATTCAATATGTCCTTTTTGTGGATGAAAGATCAGAAAATTGGACACCGCTGTTTAGGTGCTCAAATATGTGGAATTTTTGTTGAAGTAGAAACAGAAAAATTTCTTCGACGCTTGGAAGAGTTGCTCCCAGTTATTAAAACACAGTTAACAGCAAGGATGAATTTGTTGTATGCACCTGGGAAATGTGTGAGATTAGCTCAAGAACAAAATGAAAGTGAAGAAGTTAAAGAAAAGAAACTAAGACTTGAAGATCATTGCATTTTTCAAGTACTACAACTAGTAAAGAAAATATGTAGCTTATGTCCTGCTTTCCTTAAGGATGAAGTTTGGATGTCACACGTTGAAAATATAGCTGAGGCGGCTCAATCTCTATTAAGTCATCCTCATCAGTGGATACGTTTGGAAGCATCTGCAGTTTTAGGATTTGTATTTGCAAGCCTGGACATAAAAGCCTTAGTGCAAGCAGTTTCTTCTTCATCATTTATAGAAGGGCGCTATCTGTTTCATGATACAGGAAATAAATTGAAGTCACTTGTATTGGATTTTTGTGATCAGCTTATTCCTAATAGTGAAAGTCCACACTTAATAGAACAAGTGACAAAAAATTTGGCATTCTTGTGCCGTGTGATTAGAGAGTTGCCAGAAGATGTAGAATTACCAAAAGATGATGGATTTAAAATTTCATTATTGTGGTTAATAAGAAGAATGAGAAAAATTGTAAATATGGAAATAGTTACATGTCCTTCTTCATATATCTTACGAGAAGCAGTTTTTAAATGGATTGGCGCTTTAGTAGTTGATCTTACCAAAGAACAACTTCTCCTTGTCATTTCCCAGGTTCTTGCTCCTTTGGCTCGTGAGATTCTGTTAGAAGATGATACTCATCCAGAACTTTTACGTTTAGCTAAAGGAGTAGCCAAGATAATAAAGAAGAAAATAGGAGAGGAAGAGTACAGTAATCAGTTATCAAAATTACAAATGCGTATTAGTACAAAAAGAGCTATGCGAAAGAATGAACGAGCCAAAGAAGTCGTAAATAATCCAGTAGTTGCTGCTAAAAGAAAAATCAAAAAGCAACAGAAGAAGAAAATTATGAAAAAACGGAAAATGGATGAATGGAAGGGGCGAGTTGCTCCAAGGAAGAAAAGAAAATCAAACGATAATTATAACTCGGAGAACTCTGTGCCGAAAAAGAAGTGGGTTGTTACAGTGTCTGCATCAGATGCGTGAATCGACCATTGTGTGAATGTTATTGCTTCAATACGTTTCTCAATTTCTTTGGGCAACCGGTTAAACTGTCCAAACATTGTGTTGATAGTTGAAGGAATACTACCTTCATCAAGATTTAAACCAACTCTGACGTATTGCAGCTAGTGTAAATTAAACCTTTTGTGCTTTATTCTTATATTATGAAAATGGTATTTGAAGTGTGGATTCAGTGTCAAATTTTGTGATTTTTATACTCTAAAATATTTGTTCCAAGTGAGGCATAAAACTAGTAATCCATTTTACCTTCATAAACATCTGAGCATTGAATTGGTCTCTTTGACATTCACTGCAAAATGCTCCCATAAAAATGTGTAGATTTTTTAGATATATCAGTTATTTTAGGGAAGGTACTAACATCATTATACCCTATAATGATACAATTCATAAGAAAGAAAACTATTTTCTTGATAAATTCTCTTACCAAATGCAAAACTTTAAATTTATAAAATGGGGTAAGAAAAAGGCAGCCCTATACCTGCACCTTGCTGAGCCCTTGTAGACTAGTCACACTGGTGTGCTTAGTGGGGAAGCCAGTTTTATGTTTGAAATACTGTTATTCCACGATTGAAAATTCACTAAAAGATCCTTGCATCATAGAAAAATGGTAATGGGTAATTTCATTAAGTTTTCAATCATGATTTAGAAATCAATCATTTCAATCCAATGTGATCCTATTAAGAGTCTGCAGGTGAAATGAAAAAATCAAATACAAAATTACATTACAAAGTACTGAAAATGAAATGTATAGCATTCTAATGTTGTATGCAAATTAATTGCATTGTAATTTATCAAATTGAATTGATTTTAAGTGATTCAGTGAATTGTATAGTTAATGGCAAATTTCTGAACATGTATAGTAGTGCAAGATTTAGAATTGTATCATTTTGGAAACATACAATCCAGTTTTGATTTCCAATTCCTTTAAAGTTGATAAAGTATGTACTCCATCGAGTCCAAAGAAAAATGTAAGTTATGTTACATTCGTGAATTTATTTTAAGTATGTTTGCATTTACGGTAATGCTCTTATCACAATTTAGCGTGGTAATTATTTATGATGGCAAAACCTGATGTTCTCTCTAAAAGAAAAGTTCGAAATACAAATGACCATTTCATGTATGTATTGAGAATTTTACCATACTTTCTATTAATTTTATACAAGTTGAAACGTAGAATAAAAAGGTTAAATAGAAACAAATATAAGGAATGTTTACAGAAGGTGTCTCAAATCTCGTGTAGATGAGCACAATGGGGCTTCTATTGCAGAAAGCGTATCATTCATTAGTATTGAATATCAACAAAGAAGTGTTTTTTGTGAAGGGGCCATGCCTATTGACAGTGAGCTGAGTTTAAGTTGTGTGCAAGTGTTCTTAATACCAAAACATGATTTGTGTACCATTTTCTTCTAATTTAAATCCTCTTTGTGTTTTCAATACTACAGAACGCATCTGCTTCAAGAGATTGTTGAGGTATCATGAAAATTATGCAGTGGAAACATTTGTCATTTAAGTTTTGGTAATCTGATCTTTACAATATTGCAATACAAAGGAGGACAAGTTAATTTCAGTTTTTCAAATTTGAAAGAGGATTTTGTGTACTCGCAAAACAGATGGTAGACAGGGTCTTTAGCCTAACAGGGATTGTTTCCAGATATGATAAAGATAAACAATGTAATATATTAAAGGTAATTTATTAGGATAAAATGATTTATAAAATGCTCCAATATATTTGTACATAATTACAAATACCAAATGTTCAATCTCCTCTGTAAAAAAAGTGTACAATTTTATATTTATATATGTACAAAATGATTTACATAGCAGTTTCATGGAATGGATGTTTTTGTATTATAACTTGTTGGAAATATTAAATACTTGTACATAAAAGCTGCCATGTTTTTATAACTTCAGTCTTCATTTTTGTATAATTATATACATTGAAATATAAAATTCATTAGTAATACACAAAAAATATGCTTTATTATTCACAAACTGCATTGCAAATTTGTTTTTTACACAATCACAGAAACTTGTATTTTCCTTTCAATATTTTTTCTAGAAATTAAATACAGTACATTTAAAAATATGGCACACATCTGAGTATGAATAATCACAAGTCTCAAATCAAATGTGTGTACATTGTATTGGCACAATGAATTTCCCATGAGTTTGTAGAAATATGAACAACTCATCCTACATTCAATCAATGAGGTGATCTTGAACTGTCACAATTTAGACTACCTCTCAGGAGTAGGTGATTCACTTTAGCTTTAAAATTTTGTTCTCCTTTAAGACTGATCAGTGAATTTAGACATATTTTACCCTCATTATTACATCTTTATTTAAGGATGCCAGCTGTACTCTCCCAATATGTCAGTGAAAATTTATGAAGGTGTAAAATACAACTCTGAAAAAGTAAAAATTAGTTTCCTTTATCCTTACAGTATTTCTTAGATGCAGATTTGAAAACAGACTTGCTTACAGAACTGCTTCAAACAATGTGGATACAGCTTTTTGGCCCTCCAAATGATGAAAAGCAACAGGTATGCAATGTTGAAAAATCTGTACATTTCTTAGAATCAGAAATGAACCCATAATCTTGTGTTAGCAATGTAATGCTAGGTCATGGGTTCATGATGTTATCATCGCATCACCACTGCCATAACCTAGCATCTGGTTATTTCCACAAACTCCAAAAGAAGCACCTGAATTGTCAAAAATATCAGTTTTTACGTTCTGATGTTTTCCATCAACTACCCTATAGTTTAGTTTCATGTAGATCTCTTCGGATGTAACCTCGGTAACCCCGCAGTCTTAATGGTCTCACATGTTGCTGTGATGGTTCATGATGATTATGATGGGGCGTTTCATCTCCAGAATCAACATCACCTGTAATAATGTTCAAATCAAGACGATATTGAATTTTTTCATCACTATTAGGGCATAATCTTAGTTACATGCTTGTTTGTGATTTTTAAATGGTAAAAATGAATTGAACTATGCGAAGGATTCAGTCATTAATTTCTATTTCTAAACAAATTGTTCTTCTAGAATTTCACTACAATGTTGTTTCTTTATAAAATGTTAATTTAATAACTTTTTTTGCAATAGCCTAACTCCTCACTTACCATCACTAGAATTTGTTGAAGCAACAAAATGTTCAGAGCGAATGGCTTTCCGAGATTTTGGTCTCCTGTAATATTTGAATTCTCGAGGCAAAGTGTACGAACGTGGGAGAGAGATCTGTGAATCCATATCTGATGGAATACGATATGATTTGTACATTAACATTGCCTGTTGATGGGAAACTCCTTGGGAGTCTGTTGCAAGCAAATCATCTTTCACAACATGTGCTGACTCAGAGAAATTAGATCCTCTATCACTACTGCAATCTCTGAAAGCAAATACACAGACAACAATTGTTTTAGTGGATTAGAGAATAAGCATTTGAAGTGAGTAAGAAAATTGTTCTGAAAGAGTTTTCACCTATCAATGTGATCATCATCAGACAATCTATACACAGGAGTACGGTCATGGTCCCAACCGTAATATAAATTACTATTTTCTAGATAGTGCGGGGCTAATAAAATTTCTGGAGTTTTAGAGCGATGCTTTGAGCGAGGGGGTGGCATCAAATGGTAAGTATAAGGAGGTAAAATAGTTCTTGAACTTGGCGGAGATGGTGGCGGCCATCCACCTGGATTGTGCCTCTTTGTGCGTGGTATGGGTTGGCGTGGCAATGATCCAAAATCTTCTCCAACCCCAGAAGGCATGCCCGATCCTCCAGGCCGTTGAATTTTGCCCTGTTTTATTTCTTCTTCAATAACACGTAGTTCAGCTAACTGCTTCTGTTTCTTTTCTTGCAATTTTTGTTGAATATTAACCCGAGAGCCAACACTACTAGCTTCATTTTCACTCGAACCACCCTAGAATTTTTTAAAAATACGATGCAATTTCAATAATACACTATATTAGTACAAACAATTATGCTTATAATCTAAAATGCATACATTAATTAATGCCAAAAAGCTATACCTGATGATTGTGTTGATTTGGGAGAGGTCTTCTCCAAAATGGTACAGCATTTTGACTTGGCACTGAATTGTTACACGACGATTCTGGAATATTATTTGTATTTTGCAAAGATGTACTAGTTGTTGTAACTACTGCAGTTAGTCCAGAAACAACAGGAGGAGGAACAAAGCTTGATGGTTTCTTTTTCTTCCTTTTTGTAGCTGCAGCTGATGCAACAGGATTACTAAACCGGCAGTTAAACACTCCTGGAATACCTCCATGATGATAGGGGAGATACCCGTTGTTGTATCGTTGATAGCAAGCCGGATTTGGCGTTTGCTTGCCATTACACTGAATCTGCATAACAAAGATCATGAAGCTTCAATTGCAAAACAACAAAAATGTTTTTAACTACATGGTAATCTGTGTTACATTATTCTATAACCGTGTTTTAACTCACAGAAATGCTAAAAGACCAAATATATGTAGCAACTGAAAAAAGGAGAATTCTGAGGAAATGTGTTTTAATTTGTCACAAAATCATGTGCAAGAGAGAAAGATAATAAAGAAAATGCATAACCTTCCTCACTAAATAATTAAGAATGATACTAATGTGATAAAAGGTGAATTCCATTTAAATAAAACCCAGCATGTGTTGAGCAAAATTTTGTGTACTAGAACAAAGTATCTGGCTTTTGCATACAAAGATAACACATACATCTTTCTCGAATCAGTTTTGGTATCATTCATCCTCTCTCAGCAAAGCTACTGCAAATTCCCACTATTTAATATTCAACCATCGAGGCACTAGGCTTTAGCTGTCCTTCCTTGTGTCCTTGACAATTCAATTAGTACTGTTTCTGATGTTATATTGCGACGTTTTGTGATAAATTGGAGTTTAATTTTATAGGTAGCACATGCACACCTTGCTGGTCATGTAAGAAACAATTTTTACTCATTTTACTACCCACATTAACTCTATAATTTTGAATTATTTTTTAGACGTATTACCACATGTTGCTCAGGTGTTAATTATCACAATTATATATTAATCAGGAAAAGGAATGAATTCTAAGTGTATCCTTGTACCGCTGAGCCAAAATCCACTCTGATCCTTTGCCTTCTACTTTGCCTGGCCCCCGCCTCTGCCATATTTGCAACAATCTCTGTTGCTGCTGACAGCTGAAAAAGAATGCTTCCAGTAAAAATTTTAACCAGCAATTACTCAGGTTAAAGGTGTTGTTGGAATGAGAAATTGTTTAGTATGAAATTTCATAGGCTTTAAGAAACTATGAAGTGCTGTGATGGAATAACCTTTTCAAAATACTTGTTAAAAAACACACTACATATAAATTTTGCCATAAGTATTAGGTAAGACGGATATGAATAATTACCATTAGAATAATTAATACTAATTATATAATAAACATGAACATAATAAAATTGATAACATATATGGTCTTTTTCCATATTCACATTTAATTTATTTGCTAATATAGAGTAAAAGTTAATTTTCCAAAAAGTTACTATTTCACAGAAAATGTTTCTTTTTATGATGTAGACTTCAGTATGTTCTACAGATTACTAACCATTTCAAAAGCGGTAACTATTCTAAAAATGATCATATGATACAAAAAATATTAAAAATTATATGGGCCAGGGAAAAAACTATGAGTCAAGAAACTGATATTTTTGAGATATGTTGATACCATTCGAAATATTTAATTGTGGATAAGTGATTTCCAAAACAATCACGATCAGGAGATATTAAAACAAACAGATTTGATGCATGCAGGGAAGAATATTTTTAAAGTGAAAAAGTTATTTGATATAAAAAGGAATGTCACAAAAAACATTTCTAAAAAATTCATAGCAAGTGCACAAATGTGTAAACAAAACAAATCCAGGGGAAATTGTCCCGGAATGGTGAAGTGGTGTTGAACATTTAATTGCAGTTTCCTAAAATTCAAGTTAAAGTAAATTATATTATTCTTCTCGCCCCAACCCCTCTTTTGTTTCCTCAAAACACCAGCTCTCTTAGAGCAAAAGTTAAAATAATAAAGAATGAAATAAGGAATCTCTAGTGAATCTGCATTGCCCTGCCGACATAGCACTGCAACTTTGGGGAAGAACAACTACATTACCTTTACTACAAATTCAATATTTTTAAAATGAAAAACCTGGACAACACCAAATTATAATTGAGAGAGGGTCTATTAGAAAACAAAATACCATTGTTCCGAATATATTACAAACATAGAAATAATTTGAAACAAGAAAATATTATCTTGGTAGGTTTTCAGCACAGTGCACTGTATATGAATAAACCAACTATATACAAAATTAATACCATTTAAGAAAGACTATTTTGAAAAATTTTGAAAGTTAAATACCACATGACAGATATCTCATTTCATTTTGTCTTTGGAACAGTCTGTCGTTTCTTTTATAAATGGGAACTGCACCTTCAAATTTTCACTGAAAACACTTTCTTGGTATTTTCAGTGAAACATTTTTCTTATTAATATAAAATATACTGAAACTGCCCACAATTATTTCAAATGCACTGATTTAACATGTACCACTCAACATGTGAACAAAAAGGAATGATGCTAACAAACAAAAAAAAAATTTCTAGTGAATTGTCAGGTTGACCAATAGTCCATCGGGACATTTAAACTCCTGGATTCAAAATAACCATAACTACCTATCAGAAAATATTAAACTTTTTGTATTTGTGAAAACCCAAGAATTTAAGAATCCTGAAATGATTTGAAATGACACGAAGAGAAAGGTTTAAAAATCCAGGACTCTCCCAGAAAACCAGGATTCCTACCTTAACACACGGTTTGTACCCATGTAATAATTGTAGAACCTCAGAAATGTACATTAGTTACCATTCAACACCATGATTGTACATGTTAAAGATAACCTTTAATACCTAATAATTTATAATAGTAGTAATGGTAATAACAAGTAATAATCATTAACTATTATGGCTAATAGTTAATAATTAATAAGCCTTGGATTTTGTACTAACAATTTTCATTAACATCAGCGTTTCATGATGAAACACATTTTTAAATATATAATTTCTATATATACTTTGTTTTACCGAACTTTGCTGTCCGTTCTAGTGCTTTTGTGACATTTAGGTTGTTATCAGTTGCTTTAACAATATTATTATTAAAATTATTATTATATGAAATTGTAAGAAATTAATATTCTTTTCATCCTTAACTTCATCCATATCATGAATTACATTTAAGTTTCTTTCAATGCTATACCAATACTCATAGTAAATTATTAATACATACACAAACCTGAGTTTTGTGCAAGTTATTTTGATCCTCCTTTGTACTAGGATTTCCTGATTCTACTGACAATCGTTGAGTAGAATCACAATTATTATTATAGGTGTTTGGCCTACCACCAGTTTCATACCGTAATCTTTAAAGAAAACAAAAGAAATGGTTTTATCACAATACAATTACAACATAAACAGTGAGAAAGAGATACACCATAAATTGTGCAAGATATTTTGAAAATTAATTATATGACATTGCACATTATGACTTGAAACTATTCTAAAACTAACAGAAAACAGACTTTTGCTACACTGTTATCATGAAATCTGTGTTCACAGGGTAAAAGTCAAGTTTTAGTCAAATTCAGTATGAGTTGAATCTTATATTTTCTTCTCGTAAAATGATGACTAATATTGCCTCCATAACAAAAAAGAAAAAATTAACAACTTTTACACAGCCAAAGATAAAATATTTTTGCAGATGGCAATACTGCCCTTTGATTGAAATATTTGCGTTGTAGTATCTTTTTGGGGTGCGCTGTAATATCAATAATTTTCAGTGAAATTATGTGAAGGCGTGCTTTTACAAAGTGTTCCATAGGCCCATGAGAAATTGCAATTATTAATTTAAGAAGAAAATTTCAAACAATGTTATTTGTACCTAATGTCAGAACTAAGAAATCCCAAATGGTCTCCAAAAATGCTTGAGGTCACAAGTTTCTAGGCAGGATCCAAATATCCAATCCAGTAAGTCAAAAATGTATCATGTAAAATAACTTCAGTGACTTTTTTATTGTAATATAAATATATTTTCTTCTAGAAAGCTACATATTTATTATACTTTGTATTTAAAGGCAACTACATAAAATAAAACAGATTTTTCATTCACAAAACTTGCAATAACAATAATATAACCCGTATTTTCTCCAATCACAAATTTATGACTTGAACTTTCACACTGAGAAATATAGTTCTCTTTGAACCAAACATTTTTCAACAGAACATTAGTCTAAGAAATCACTGATATCAGGTAATGAAAGTAGAGTAGATCACTTTTCATGTTTCAACTCCCTTTAAAGTCCTTTTGTTCACATATAGTTCATAAGTCGTAAAGAGAAAGCACTGTGAGGGAAAGGATGTCATATAAAATATGTAAACCTGTCAATAATTTTATCTTGTTTCAAGACTAGCATATTAAGATAAAGAGTTCTAAACTAATCACTAAGAATTTTAATAGCTAAAAAATGTCAAATACAAAAATAGTTCTTGCCCAAGGACACCTTATATGTTCATTCTTTATATTAGTTATAATATATTTTTACCTGAAACTACCTTAATTTTCATGGTTCAGGTTAATATGAACTCAAACTCTTCATTAACACATTGCAAGGGCATAAAAGTAGTTTTAAAATATATTAGTAGTAATAATAATATAATTTTTTTTTTTTTTCCCCCAGAAGAAAGAAGCTGGCTCAAAATAGATCTAGCAGAGCAAACATGAATGATTTTTGTATTTTGTGTAATAAATTTATTGAATGATAAGTGTGTGAAAATGTGATGATAGTATAATGGGTTATAAACGAAATATAATTAAAATATGAAAATGAAAATTATAGGAAGCATGATAGTAAAATTCAGATCAATAGTGCAGGATACACAAAAATTAATATCAATTCTATTGGTGGCCTCATTCTCAACATTAAACCTTGTCAAAACAATGTTTACCCTTTGATACACACCATTCATGAAATTCAGTGCACTATAAGATTGTTTAATGGTTCATCTAAAACCTACTATTTCTAATGAAACTATACTAAATACAAACATATTTCTTATACGTACCTTCGAACATGAAAATATCGATAATATAGTATCATGAAACTTATACCAATTGCAAATGAAACAAATACAACAACAGGTACTGCATTTCGATACCATGGTGCATCATCCCAAATACCCACAAGCCAGGCTGACACTAGAAGAGCATTTTCCAAGAACATAACTACATAAAATGTCACCATTTTTTGGCGAGGGTTCACTTCCTAAAAACAAAAACACCAAATTAATACTAAAAATATTACCAGTAAAGTATTTGTAAAGAAATAATTCACAGACTTACTTGAAGATTGATGTAAGAAAATACATAAATTATGGCAATAAGAGCTGAAAATGCTGCTTTTCTCTGTCTTGATATTCTTTCACCATGAAAAACATTTTTGGGTGATATAAGCCACAGAAACATTGATATCCAATGTAATCCAATGACCAGAAAGACCCAATGTCCATATAATGTAGCATATACTGTTAAAGCTGTGACTCGAGATGACACTGTGCCTAACCTCCACAGAAATTGAAATATTACACCTAACCATGTAAGGACAAGTCTATGTACATTCTGAAGTCTCACATTTTTGCTAAAAGAAGCAAGGGCCCAACATACACTAAACAACGACAAAACTGTGGAAACAATATTTAAATCACTAAATTCCTTTGGTGAAGTCTCTTGCCACAATAGATACAACTGGACTAGAAGCATTGGAGCTGCTTCACAGAAAGCGTGGAACAATCGAAGCATACATAAGTCTCTCACTTCATGTTTGACATACCTTAAATCAACTGGAATAAAAAGTTTGAAGTACCTCCATAGCACTCCACACTGGGAAATATGCAATAGAACTATTAGCCACTGCACACATTTTCCACTATTTTTCTTGCACTGAGGGGATCCTTCGTTTTCATTTTTTGATTTCTCTCGCAACTGTTTCTGGGTTTCTCGTGATCGTATATACCATTTTAATGATATAAATTGACTGATGACCAAAGATGTAGCAACAAATGTCAAGGAGACAGCAAACCAAACGTGTCTCCCACGTTCAAATAGTGCATACCCCATCACAACATCAAAAACAACATCACAAAAATAAGAAGCTAATGATATTATATTAAATAAAACATCACAGAGAGGTAAAAATTCGTGATTGGCCATATTGTTCGTGGCTGATGTACTTCGTTAATATGTGTCATTCTCTCGGCATCTTTCACAATCAATTCTCGTAAATAAATACGGCGCTGTCTTGAGCAGGTTATAAAAGTTGTAGATGACATGTGAAGTACGGAGAAACGCTGCATTGGGTGTGAAATCGACAGAACAACATTGCCTCTTGGTTTGGAACTGAATTGCAGCACATATTTTACATCCAAAGCATGTCGAAAACCTTGGTATGCCAGGAATTTGTATAATTAAACAGAATTATGTCCTTTCTTCGACAGTTCCACAATAAAATAAGTGATTCTTCCATTACACAGCCTTTATCATTGAATTTCTACTGAGAATTAAATGTAATACATTTTAATGTTGTAAAATTCTATAGCAGAGACAACAGCAGAAACTAAATTGGTCACAAACTCAAAAACTTTAACACAACTGATCACAACATCGCACAAAGCAAGTACCAACTTTCTAGATATATCACCACTGAGAAGTATTAAATTCAGTATAGAACAGCAATGAATAAGCAGTACCAACTGTGAGTACATTTCCCTAAGAAAATTAAGAAATGTCGTAAAACACTTCGATAGATGAATGATTTTAATGATTCAAAAATAATTGTTCAAGACATGTAAGCACGCATTTGAAAGCCGCGCATTTTAATTAATCTTGCTTGCCTCTAATGGCAGTGATATATGACACTGTAAGAACAACGTAGTACATGAAAGGACCTGGCAGACGTCTTTCATGTTACACTGACCTTTGATATACATTTTTATTTTATGCGTCCTTTCGGATAATATCCGAGGACTTGGGTATGTTTTCCGTTTTTCATTACAGATACTGATATATTTACGGTCATTTATTCAAAGTCCTTCATCGATGAGTAAACTATATTACTTAAAAATTCTTATATCTCGCGACACGAGTGCATTCCTCGCTTCCCCCTCCCCCTTTACCACGACAATAATAGCGCAAGAAAAATGAGGGTATTGTTCACACTTCATATTAAATTCATGTAAAGACTAAGGGGTGCTGAAGACATAGAGGAGAGATACAACTCCTCCTCTCTCTCCTCTATGGCTGAAGAGCAATTATTTTTCCATTTATCACTTGTTTTCTGAAAAGATGTTTCCCTGATTAAAGCACTAATTGCCCATTAATTTGATCACATGTAGGACACGGGTTTTCATGTAAATATATGATTTTATAGGAACAAGACGACTCCATTACATTCTACTCTGTAGAGTTAACAAGAAATTCCTAATTCTCAACTTAATTCATACCCAGTGGCGGCTGCGGCAGGGAGGCGCTAGGGACACTGCCCCCCTACTGAGATCAGTATTTCTTCTCTTGCGCTGTCTAGAAATAATCTCTGTGGTCTGTAGGGTTGTTTCGAAATCTATACACATCTTTAGTCTTTACACCTCCCGCTTGTTCTGAACTATCTTTCCACTGCTGCGGACACCTCGCTCTGTGTCCTAAAACCGCAATGTTGTTACGGAACTTACAGACAATGGAAATCGCTCGCCCAATTGAGTGTTGAAATGGCAACTATGGGTTGGCAAATGGCGTCTATGACGGGGGCGCCACCCAATAGAGGAGAAGATACACTAGAGTGGCGCGTGAACCATTACTAGCGCAGTTTCCAACATGGCGGTGGCGCGAATCACGTGGACGTTTGCGGACCGGCAGCTTGTTTTGCCTTGTATTGTGTGTACTTTTGCATGCTGTTTGTTATATTCTGGTTGCTACAGCGTAATTATTTGGGGCGCCACAAGTTTAGCTAGGATCATCTGGAAAATGGTTTTTCAAGCTGATACGAAGCAAGGCGGAGTTCAACAATAAAATCCTACTTGACCAAGCAAATTGCCTGGGCTTTACAAGCGATTACTATGCATTCACCAGATTTCTCTTCTGCCTTCGGCGAATGTGTTCCAGCAGGAACTAAACAACTATATTTAAATGTTCATTCACGTCGTCATGCAAGTGTGTCACAGTGAATGGATCCTTAACTGTTGCTCTGACGGTGCCAATTGACCGATGTACATTGCCATCAGATAGACAATCTTCAACTAAGATTGTCTCCCTATGTTGTGGACATTGTATATGATTAGAGGATTTGTAGGAAATTTTATCTTGGCTCTGGTTGACATGTTAAAGATAGTCTTTGCGGGATGATGTGACGAAGTTTACTCATATTCCTTCATTCAGAGGAAGGATGATCATGGCTGAAATTACCCTTTCTGTAGATGTTCTGCAAAATACAGAAGTAGAAGTAAGAATGACTTCAAGGGAGAGGTTGACAGTTTTCAAAGTGGCAGCTTACACTACAGATTGTAAATAGAAGTTTGAGAGAATTTTAAAATAATTCCGATTTTTGTAATTAACTTAATCTTATTATTAGGTTAAGAGGCCAATACTGGAATCATAGAATGTAATGTGCATTAAGGCAATATTAATTTAAAGTATTCCAAATTAGATTAAAACATTTATAGAGAAGACTGAAATTTTACCAGAAAAAATGAATATAGATAAATTATAATAAAATTATTTTATTTAGAGGGCATTAATGTGTAATGTATTATTTGGTGTTAGTAGTATTATTTTATGTATTTATAGGTGTAAAGTTAATGTTTGTAGTTTAGTAAGTAATTAGTGTTTATGGTTTGTAATGACTAAGTAATTTGATTTTTATTAGTAAATTTCTTTGAAAATAATTATTTCGCTTCTCCTTCAAAGACACCCATTTCGCATCAGGCTTTTTGTCCAATTACCCTGAATCCGTCGAGTTATAAAAGTAGCTTCACTAATGCAGCGAGTTTTGGTTGAGCATTGTCCTTTTGCTTTTTAGCGTGAGGAGTAAAGCCAATTGTTATGGATGAGCTGTTTTTGACAGTAATACAAAAACTCTACAACCCTGCTGCTGGTTGATGTGATGCAAATAAGTTTTGCTAAATTTGAGGAGGAAAATCTAATGGTATAAGTTGAAATGTTGGAAGAGATTTTTTGAGCTCAAGAAAGTTGCAGATTTGGTACTTTCCGCCGTATTCACAATACAGTATTTAATGTTTTTAACTAAAAATCAAAAATATAATATGAAAATAAAAAGTGTTGTTTCTCCCTCTGACAAATCCTGTAAATTTTGATTAATGGCTTTATATGGTCTGGTGTGGATTATCAATAGCAGAATTTCAGGCATTGAAGTAGTAACAGAAAACTTGATTAATGCGCTCCCATGGAGTTAAATAAAAAAAATACTTTGTAAATAAATTTTTTCCTGAGTAATAGAACTTGTAAAACAGGTGTAGTGGGTACGCGGTTAAAGAGTGACAAGTTTGGACAAAAAATTGGAGACTTTCATAGCACTTTAAATTAAATAGAGCCAGAATAACTTAAAATAACTTTTCTGCTAAAGCAAGCATTTCGTGGGCTGTGTAATAAATGAGAAAATAATACTTGAGTGAAGCGTGTTAGACGCACGTATTAAAAGAAATCACTTAGTACGAGCGGTGTTATAGGTAGATGCTTCCAGCTATCCCAAAGTCACGTGACTTGGGCGCGAGAGATGTTGATACCATTCCAGGCCTTCTGCGCACTCTAGTTGTATCTCTCCTCTATGCCGCCACCCAGCAGCCTGACAGGGGAGGTAGCAACATCGGTGCCCGGCGCTATCTATTGATCGATTTTTAAACTTACAATATTTCTTTCGCTTAATTTTCGTCCAGGCCAGTGCTATCTGCTGGTATTCTGTTTAAATGATATCCCTTTTCACAACAATTCAGCGCAGTAGTGTGCAATCGGCATGGTCGGCATCATCTTTCCGATCCGTAGACAAACTATGTGAATGCTGTATTCCGATCTTTGCGTCCAGTTCGTATTGTGCATTGAGATTGAGAATGGTTTCCAATTCTGTAAAATGCCTGAAAACAGTCAATGTGGTTATGATACAAGGCTGTGCATGAAGAGAATTGGACTACCTCGGCCTGATATAAAAAAAATACTATGTGATAGAAATGGCAATCGTTCTTTTGTACGGAAATTTCAAAGGGATAAATGGCCATCTTAATTTTAGAGTGAAATTAGCCATGTGTTCTCTCTTTGATTGTAAGACGTTCCAACAATATCAAGAAAAATTCCCCCTACAAAGGTTGATCGCGTTTCACAGTACTCTCCGTTCGTGAGCTAGCAGACTGAAATCTGAGCTGGATGTGCTATATTAAAGAATCTGAGAGAGCTTTTGCACTTTGAAAAGATTATAGACTTTTTAAGAAATACCATGTCGGAAGAGAGATTAAATGGACTTTGTATGTTTTCATTATAAAGAGTTTTGTTACGAGACTCCTTTAATTTTGAAGAATCAGTAATAGATTTACAGAATGTAACACCAAGACTCAATTTGATTTATAGATCATGTGTTTAGCCTGTCTTCCGGGCAGATAATTCGATTGTAAATATTACTTATGTGACTTAAACAATCCAAATATAACAATTTTTCAAATGCCTAGCATTGTTTGATCCTGTAACTTTGTGTACCCTCCCTGTTGCCTGATCCCAGAGCTGCCACTGTTCATACCTTCAGTTAAGATATTACAAAAAATGTCCCTACACGGATCACACTGTTATATATATTCAAAGGCTATCGATCAAATAATAATTAACAAAACCACTAGTCGATATGAAATTGAAATAAAAGATTTAGGATAGTGTTCACCATGCACAAATTCTTACCATTTCAAGAAATGTGAACACCAATACATTAAATAATATACGTATGAGTAGATTGTTTACTAAAAGTAAAAGATTTTCATCAATTACTTGCTGCAAGAGTCATGGAACACAGTTTACAATACTATAGACACAAACGATAAATATTTCTTTTCAACACTTTAATTTCATTTTAACACTTGCTTTCCTCTTCAAAAAAGAAAATGAAATATTTAACGAAAAAGCAATCCTTGGATAACACAAGGAATTAGGGCATCATGTAAAAACAAACGAATACTTTCTTACATTAAGTATAACGCAGTAACATACGCAGTAACAGCACGCGTATAACGCAGTAACATAAGTATAACGCATCTCAAGATTTCCTCTACTTTAAAAAATACAAATCATTGTTAAGAAAAGTCACAAAGTAGGCTAAAATCATGAAACGATCAGGATATTTTGAACTCAATAAAACAAAAGCAATGAGAAATATAGTACAAAAATCGAAATCTTGTAGAGAATGTTTTAAAAGACAACGATAGAAATGTGAACGACACGGCAACAGTGGCTAGTCTCTTTAATCAATAATTTCGAGAATTGCTGCCGACACACTAAGGATCTTCAGTCACAAAATTCAACATCAGACGTTTTCCCAAAAATTTTAGTCATGATGTTCGTTTCCGAAACTTCTTCTAATGAAATTCTCAAAAAAATTAAATATACTAAAAAACTAAAAGTTAAATATACGGTTCACTAAAAATTAAATATTCGTCCGGTTTAGATGAATTTCTCGATTGTTTGTGAAAGACTTGTTCGCTCGCCATTATACACCCGTTACCTCACATATTTAATGTATCCTTCTGCACAGGAATTATTCCAGATATGTTTAACAACTAAGATTAAGCCGCTTTTCAAAAACGGAAACAAAAATGAAATTCAAAATTATTGGCCTATTTCTTTTACCCATTTTTCAAAAATATTAGAGACTTTTTTACGTACGAGTGGAAACCTGACTGTAAATATGACTCATTTTCAGATTGACAGCTTGGGTTTTGAAAATCAAAATCTACGGAGTCATATTTTCTTTTCTTAATGATGTCGCCTCATCCATGGACGAAGCACCTATTGGAATATTTTTAGATCTTTCAAAAGCTTTTGACGTCATTGATTATAACATTTTACTCTCAAAATTACCTTCGCATGGAATCCATGGTATTGCTCTAGATTGGTTATGTTCGTACCTTAAACAACAATCTCAAAGAGTAGAAATACCTTACTGGAATAACGGAACATTATGTACACACCTTTCTGATTCTTTGCCAATTGCATGTGGAGTTCCGCAGAGATCGATTTTAGGCCCTATTCTTTTCCTACTATAGGTAAACGATATGCCCTCAACGATTAAAAACGGAGGAACAGTAATCTGAAAATGATACGAATATTCTTTGCAATAAAGAAACCGTAAATAGTCCAATAACAGATATTTGAAATTGGTTCCGTAATAACAAATTAATAGTAAAAGAAAAGAAAACGGTTTCAATGAAGTTTTCCATTTCAAATAAACAGATCTATACTCCACTGAAAATGAATGGTGTGCCATTGACTGATGTTAAGGTAACAAACTTTTTAGGTCTTTCAATTCAGTCAAATCTTAAATGGAATGGAAACACTAAGTTAAATTATTTATCCTACGTTTTCAGAATTCTTTCAAATTCAGTCAACATCCATACTGCTCGTTGTGTATATTTCGGGAATTTTCATTCCTACCTGAGATAGAGCATAATATTCTGTGGAAATACATTTTATATGCTACCAGACTTTTAGATCACAAAAAGAATTGTACGAATAAGCAAATCCTACCCACGTGATTCTTGTAAGCCTCTCTTTATTTATATAGGTATTTTACCATTTCCTTGTCTCTTCATATATGAATCAGTGGCTTTTGTCAAAAATAGCTTACTTATGGGCGGGAATATATTTTTAGCAAACGCTGATATCTATAACTACAACACTCGACGTAGTAATCTTATTTATCGGGTGACAGTATCAACAGCTCGCTACAAAAAAATCACATACTATACATGTGCATTATTTTACATCTTACCAGATGACATTAAACGATTAAAATCGATGCAAACGTTGAAGTCCAAAGTGAAATCTTTTCTGCTGCACAACTGTTTCTGTACAATTAGAGACTATAATGAGCACCCAAATGGAAAGTAATATTAATTTTAACAACGCCATTTAGTGTATTATTTACCATTTGGATTGGATAATTCCAAAGAGTATATATCAGAGACGGCACTCAATGTTAAAAGGAAAAGCCTTATTTGCCCAACTTCCGTGCCGCCACATTGTATCTGGTAATAATTTTCTATTGGGTGAACGGACAGGCAATAGCGAAGAAGTAACCGGTAAATTTGAAATAACCAGCGACGGCGGGAACTTTAAAATTGCACTCTCATTCTTTCCACGCCTTAATTTATTGAAAAAGCTCCAATAATAATTATAAGGATTTTATGGAAAGAAAAAGTCAAATTAGGGTAGTAAAATCTAGTATTTATTGAGCATATGATATTATACAATTTCGTAATTTCATTAGTAATACAATTTTGAATTACAGAAAATATAAAACAGTACATCTGCGTAATTGCAACTTTAGTATTTGCTTGTAGATATGACTAAATTAATACTATGGATACTACATTATTACAAGCATTATGAATAAACAATTAACAGAATTGAAAAGAAACAAATGCCAAATACTACCAGGCACATTTGCCCCAGATAAAAGAAATAGTTATTGATACAAAGGGGTAAAGCGCCTATTTTATTTTTGATCTGATTAGGTCTATGAACGTTTTTGTTTTCTTTGTTGCTTTCAAAGTTTTATCAGAACATTTGAGCATTGTCCCACTTTTAAGCAGTAGTGCAAAAAATTGAGCTTTTAGCATGCTTGCATGCTTGAAAGAACGGGCTTTTTACTAGTTGCAACTAAAAAATGTTTTTCATTAGTCATAAATATTTGACATTTTTATTTCCCATGCTCACAATCTTCACATTGGCACAGTTCAGAGCTGGCTTTTTTAAAATGGATCCACTGGAAAGTAACATTCACCTTTAAAAACATGATTAACAAGATGTGGATTCCATGCAATGCTTATGACATAACAATTTAATAATAATTCTGAAAAGTGGATTGTCCAAGTGAAATATTTTGATTGCACCAGGACGCAAAGCCTGGGACTTCTGATAACTGGGCAATGTCTAATAACTGAGCTATAGAATCAAGCATTGCATTCACGACTCACAACAATTCAACAATCTAATAACGATCAGCATTCAAATCCAGCTGTAATTGACCATGATGATGAACAAAACACAATGATACACACATACTAGAATATAAATTGAATCAAGATTGTGTTTGTCATGAGAAACTATTATTGGTCGATATCAGTTATAACAATATCATAAGCAACTTATATCAAATACAAATAATAAAAAATTAATACTAATAAGAAAGAAACAAATGGCAAGGACTAGATAATAGCCATTAAAATAAATTCTAAAATTGCCATGAAATAGCTCTCGAAACAGACCTTTTAATTCATAATTTAAATTTGAATCTGAAAAAAACCTTTCTATTCATATATTCAAATAAAGTGTCTTACATAGCAAGAGGCATTCCAAAATTGAGAAAATGATCAAGCTTTACCAGAATTAATTTTATCTTTAAATTTTGTTTAATTAGAACTTTCCAAATTCAAGATGTGGGAAATACAGGTTTATACAATGGATCTGTACCAATGACAGAATACAACTGATTTAAAACTCTTTGTTGTTCATACCTTTATAAACTGTCAGCGTAAAAGAAATATGTGCAGAACTTTGGCACAATGAAGCAAGTTATTCACTGCATATAACAATAATTCTTTGAAATTATCTCTGAGTTCTGACCCTCAAAGTGAACATTAATTTAAAGCCCAACTTAGGGTCAAACTCGTAGGGTCTAATATGCATGTTCAGAAGCCATCTTCTGAAGAGGGTCTGAAAAGCAAAAAATGATGTTAAGAAAGATACTATGTCCTCAAATGAATGTTCTGAAAAACCAATCTGTATCAAAAGAAAGATGTTCTTTTAATTCACCATCTAGAATTACGAAATTAGAAAGCACAGGAATATCGTGCACTTACCCCACACCAAAGGCGCAGATTCATCTCCCAGAATGGCTTCTTGCACCTGTCCAGAAGTACAAGGATCTGTAATCACCAAAAAAAGTTTTTTATTTACTATAATTTGCCCTCAATTGGCACTATATACTGTATATTGAAATTGGAACATACCATTGAGAAACGTCCATAAAAACTTCCTGCGAGGCTGAACCTCACATGGGGAAAAAGATCTGAAAATGGAGACACTTGAAGGTCTATCCCATTTCAATAAATGCAACAAAAAGTAATAATTTGAGATTCTTAAAGATTATAGCAAATATTTACCTTTCACAAGACTAGATAAGCATCTGCTTGCACTTGCTGTAGCCAGCATGTTCAACCAGGCACCCTTAGAACCTGTATTAATCAACAACAAATTATTGCCAATAACATTATGCTTTCAATAGCATCTTCTTTTTGCATTTTACAAATACGAGACTTACCAACCTTTTCAGTTGAAACGGCTGCCTGTGTAACAAGGATCTGAAAATAAAAAAGCTGGTACATAGCTCCAATCAAACTATATATTCTATTAAAACTAAATTATTCTATTAAACTAGTATTCTAGTAATATTTCTATTTAAAAAATCTTACCAATTACACCCATAGCTTGCAGTGGGGTGTTGTCACTCGCTTGGTCCAAACAAGGATTCTCAATACTGAACATGAACATTACAAAAAATTCCACTATTTGTTACGCACCCATCATCTTCTCGAAGCCAAATGCACGTCTTCAGACTCCAAACAAGCAGTAAATCATTCATTTCTCTATTCACTGACTGCGATATGGCGTTAACGCCCTACGAAACAGCACGTGAATATACAACCATCGGTCGACGAGGGAAGGATCCAAACGCGTAAACAACCGGCTCGTTTTGCGAAAAAATTTCAAAATGAAAAAGTAGTTCACCGATTCTCCGCTTGAGCGATAGGTGTTGCACAGATGGGATATGGCGTTCGCTCTGAACTCTGATTGGCTACTGTATGGAATTTGAATAAGGACCGGATGTGCCCTATCTAGTGTCACCCCACTGGATAATTCTAAAAAACCTGTATTAGGTATTGTACTTCAGCTTCTGGGCCAATGACATCTTCTCGATCAGGACCACGAAAGTCCAGTTTCCCTGATCCTTGAGCAAATGCTGAGCAAATCCTTGAGCCCTTGTTTTGCATCTGGACATTAATGTAACTTCAAATTAACTTCTCCCCATAGCACGTCACACACAGTTTTTTACTGTTTCTGGCGTAAATAAATAAATAAATAAATAGGAACTATTTTTATTTTACAAATGTTGGAATTATTTCATTTTTTACGTATATTCTCTATTCCTTAACACTTCTTATGTATTTCTTTATATTTCCACATATTTTACGTCAAAACGAAATATTTCATATTCTACGAGTTTGTTAAAATAATATTACTAAAAAAGTATTTTTTATAAAGCTATGTAATTCCACGGTTCTGTGACTACCGGACCTTCACTAAATCGTCAAACTTACTCCTAGCCCTTCTTGGAAATCTAGTTTAGGGAACGAGGAAAAGCAGATGTTTGCAAAGCAGAAGTAATCTCAACTACATGGTAGCTCATGTTACATAAAGCTGATGCATAACTCGATCGAAATCTGACAAGTATTTTTTAAAGCTTATTGTCTTATCTTGAGAGGAGGGTGCACATTCCCTTTAACCCTCCCTCCCCCTTCCTTTCCGAAAACCGTCACTGTCTCGGAAATAACTTCGTTTGTGCTACGTACGGATTTTATATTTCGAATAAAACATATCGTGTGGTGATCATGTGCAGAAGACTAGTGTACAAGAGGAAGAACAATCTTTCAGCCGCTCCGAATCCATTCGAGAAAGACCTGATCGGCAACGTTTTGTGTTCGAAAATTTGAAAATGCTTATTTGGAGCAATTAAAACACTATAATGAATATTTATATTATATATATATTTTCAAACATATTTTAAAAAAAATGTATAGTACATATTTTGTTTTGTTTTTAGTAAAATAACTTCCATTCCTTAATCATAAGTGTTATTTGAAAGATAAAAAATGGAATTTTTGCAGTAGGTATTGTTTAGTTATCGTGTTCATATTATTAATGATTAAATTTCTTAAATTTGGCACTATTTTATTTCGTTTGTAACTTTTAGTTGGCCACTTTTTGGTCCCGTTTCTACTCACAGAATTTAAAAACACGAAACTCCGAAGAAAAATGCTTGAAACATACACAAAACATAGATGTATAATGTATTTTTTCCATATTATCGCCCTTAAATATGTTTTGCATTTTATTTTTCCTATACACGAAAATTTGGTAAAACACTTGGCGGGTCATCCACCTGACATCATCATTTTGGGCACCTTTAAATTTAGTCTCAAATGTTTCTTAACATAACATTAAACATTCTATTCATATCAAAAAGGGTCAGATTACTAGGTGTACAAAGACTTTTATAACTTAATCGTCTCGTGAACATGTACTTCAACATTTCTGGGTAAAAAATAAACTTCAACGTGTATTGGCTAATTTACTGTAGAACAAAGTTAATTCCTCAACTTGGCTAACACAAGTAATTTTTGCCCAAGACTTAAAACGATGCAGTGCGCATTCTTTTTTTAAATTTATTTTCTTTTGGATTGAATAAAGAAAGACCAGTGTTAAAACACTCTATATTTGTTAAGGTTGTAATCTAATTTTTTAAAATTGTAATCTAATTTAATATGTTTGTAACAAATAATGTACTTCAGCTTCCGGGTAAATTACCCCAATTTCGATCAGTTTTTTGTCCAGTTTCCCTGATCCATTGAGCAAATGCTTAGATGCCCCCTTGTTTTGCTTCTGGACGTAAATGTAGCTGCGCAGGTTTTGTTGAACTCTCTTTTGCTTGTAACGGTAAGAGTAGAGGTAAGGGCGAGTTGCTATTTTGTTAGCAATGCAGAAAAATCATACTTGCAATTCGTGCACCGATGCAAATAAGTTTTCTATAACTCAGAAACGAAAATTACTATTTTTCAAATATTGCTTATCTTTCCATTTTTAAAATTTATTTATTTATGTTAAACTTTTACTCATCTTTCAACTATTCATAGATAAAATGACGGGAAGGGATTCTGGAACTCAAGAAAACGGGCGCAGATAATCTTTTCCCCCCTATGCCACATACAGCTTTTACTGTTTTTGGCTGACTAAATCTATATATAAATCTACTTATAAATAATTAACAATAAACTTACTACTAATCTTAAAATACAACTTACGCTACTAGAAGGGTGTTAGATGTATCTTATAAGATAACTCTACATTAGGTCGAGATCTGAAAATTTATTGAGGAATGTATGAAACGGAAATTTATTTTTGATGTGGGTTCTGTGGATTGGGTTTCGGCAGTCTTAGAGGGGTTAGATTGTGTATATTTGGAATGTTGTGGAAGACGTGGGTGGATAAAAAAATAATGTGGTTTGTTATTGATTCTAACTGGATTTTTTTATTAAGTTGTGATTTAGAGATGAACCATGGTGCATTCGTGATGGTGCGGAGGAATTGATTTTGGACTATTTAGAGTTTTTTGGTAATCGATTTGGCTTCGCTGATCCATACTGGGCATGTACATAAAAATAGTGGTCGAATGATAGCTTTGTAAATCAATAAGGCGGTATCATACGGTAATTTAGCAGATCTATTTATTATTGGTTTTAATTGGTGTAATTTAATTTTTGCTTGTATAACTTTAGTGTCGATCAGATTTTTCCAACTGAGTTGGGTATCTAAGAAAAGGCCTAGTTATAATATGGGTTTGTTATGAGGGTACCATTGTTCGTGTTCTTGGTTCAGTTGTAAGGGAGGGGGGATGTAAGGTCTTAAGGATAATATTTGGACTGCAGTTCTTGACGGGTTGATTTTAATTTTGTTTTTGGTTGCCCAGCTGTTGATTTGGTGTAGGTATAACTGCAGATTGATTTTTATTGTGTTTATGCAGGGACATGAATAATATATAGCGGTGTCATCTGCAAATTGGGCGATTTTTGTATTGCTAGTTTTGGTAGGTCGGCTACGTACAAGTTATAAAGAGCGGGAGAGAACGGGGAACCTTGGGGAAGGCCTTCTTTGACTGCTTTTGGATTAGAATGATGGTTATCGACTGTAAGGGCAACTATTGTTGAGGAAGCTGGAAATGATTTGAGTAAGATAATGTGGAGTGCCTAATTTTTTATTTTGTAGTTTAAATCTTGGTGCCATGTTCTATCAAAGGCCTGAGAAATGTCGAGAAAGATTGTTACTGTGTGATAGTGTTTTTGAAATGCCTTAAGGATGTTTTCAGTGAGTCTGAGAAGTGGTGCGTGGACCCTTTTTCTGTGAAACCCATTTGTTCCATAGGTATTGTCTTTGTGTTATGGAGGTGAGCTTTAAATTGATTCAATATTATTTTTTCTAGTAGTTTAAATAGCGTGGAAAGCAAACTGATTGGGCGGTAAGTATTGGTTAGAGATGCATTCTTGTTTAATTATTGCACCGGAAGAATGATTGCGTGTTTCTATACTTACGGAAAGTAACCTAGTCTCAGGGATGAGATGAATATATTGGTTATATATGCAAGGGCTGTTTGGGGAAGGTTTTTTAATATTAAATTGTTAATTTTATCATGTCCAGGGGCTTTCTTGACTGGTAGTGATTTGATGATTTTATTTATTTCTTTAGGTGATGTGAAGAGTATATTATGGTGATGACCGTATGTCTGTTCGTTTGCGGTTTTGCTAATTATGATATGACTAGGGTGCGGTTTAGTATTATTTAGAGTGAATGTGAATGCAAAGTAATTTGCAAACTCTTAGGCTTTCTCGACAGCCTATAATACCAGCCTATAGTACCAGTATTATTGGGTAAAGTTGAATATTTTTATTGATGGCTATTAGCACTCCTTCTTTGCTTAGATTTCGGTCGGCTCGGTAAATTGAATAGTTTGGAATATACATTATTTTTTCCCCTTTAAGTGGATTTCTGTGATGCAAATTATATCTACACGGTGTGAATTTAAGAAGTTTGTTTATTTGTTAGACAGTTAGCATTTCAATCGACGAGGGTAAAATTTTTAAGGTGTTGTACTAGCATTATTTCCGTTAATGTAGGCGGAGAATGAATTTTGAATTGAGTTGATTATGGTGAGTAGTTATGGTATTGATTACATAGGAAGTGATTGCATTAATTATATTTATAATGGGATAGTTATGGGGTGGTTCTTGGGGAAGGGTTCTTGTTTATAGGATTTGGGCGGGGCTGGGATGTGGTACTACTAATTTGAGTGAAGTTGTTGAGAATTGGTGTTTGGAGAAGAAGAGGGAAATGGGAATTTGTTTGTGATGGAGTTGGTGTGCAGGAAAAGCTTGGGTTTTTGGTTTTCGGATTGTTTTGGCTTTTGGTGTTAGTTTTTCTATTTATAATGTAACTTCAAATTAACTTCTCCCCACAGCATGTCACACACAGTTTTTAACTGTTTCGACGTAAATAAATAGAAATAAAAAATAAAAAAAACATATTTTCAACATATTGTTTTAGGCAAGGGCAACTGGAGTTTGGATTATCGGTCTGGTGGCTTCCTTGACAGTTACGATATTTTGGTACATGATCACAATTAGTACATGTTACTGATTACCCGAGCAATATGCGCAGCTAATTGAGTGGCTACAATTATTATTTGTATGGCCATAATCCAGGCACCGCTGGCATTGTAATGGATCTTGGGTTTTGTCCCTTGCTTCTGCTTTT